GGTCCCTATAGGCTAGGGCCGTGGTTTAAACCCCTCCCCAATCATACTCAGTGGCCTGCTGGGACCAGCTTCCATCTAGCCTTCTGGCCACTGCTGAAGGGAAAGGAGGGCTCACTCTAGTATACCTGGCATCTAGCCTGAGCCCCTGCAGGGATGTGACTGCATTTCTGGAATCCAAAGCAAATGTCTATTCACTTGCTTGCCAGTTCAATCTGCTCAGGTTAGACTAACCTGCAAAGATTGAATCAATTCAGTCTTGGGCTTTTTGAATGTCTGTACTTAGCCTTGATGGGCCAGATCCAGCCCACAGGGCATATGTTACCCACCCCTTATGTAGATAAATGCAGCCATATACTCCTATCTTGAGTGTTAGAATTGTGAGGCTTTTAGCATTTAGGATGTGCATATGCAGTTTTATGAGCACCTAGCTTGTAATCTGTTAACTCACCTGATGTCTAAATTGATGTTTCATTTTAAAATCACATTAGAATGTTATTTCTGAAATATCCTGATTGTATTAAGCATGTGAACACTATTAAAATTATTAGGTTTTAAATGAGTAAATACTGTTAGCCATTTTTTTCAATGTCAGCTCACTTCAATAGTGTAAAAAATCCACACAGACTTTAGGATCTCATAGAAGGCTTGTGCCTGTAAGTTGCCAACACGGAGGCCTCTTCAAACATACCTTTCTAACTCCATAACAGAACCTTCAGATCTGTTTCCTCTCCAGAGAAATACAGTATCCCAAACAAAGTTAAAAGTTGTTTTTCCCTTCAATAACAGCACAACACCAGACTTTAAAACCTATTTCTCAACAGAAGAAGAATGCTTTTGGCAGGGGTGGGAAAATGGAGGTCTGTTGAGGTTATTGAAATTAGGGTTTGAGTGTTTCTATGAAGCCTGCCTACACTATGCTAGCTATTTGTTTAACAAGCAGATGGTCAGAAAGATTTGGTGAATAAAGCACTTGACTAGCATTTGGGTACCAGGGATCTCTTCTGAGCTCTGCCACTGACTCATGAGACACCATGTGCAAGTTACTTCACCTTTCAGCAATATGTACAATGTATTAAATATTATCATTACTCTTGTTGAAAAGCTTATGCAGGCCTTAGAGGGCTCTAAAACCAGAAGTGAAGTTATTTTCATTTAATATTATTTCAATATGATAACTGGAAAACACATTCTATATTGGGGTCTCAGTACTGGTGATTTACTCCCCAGCTCATGAGGTGTTGTCACTGAAGTGGCCTGTTCTGTTAGGAGTGGATATTCTGGGTAGTTGAGAAGCAGTGCTGAGATAAAAGCTTCGAAAATGAGTCTTGGTTTCTTTGACACGAACAGGATCTGTGGGGATGGTAATCTCCTGAGGGAGAAAGTATAAAATGTGGGTGCCTTTATTTTCATGCATCCTGCTCTTCCAGGCTGCAAACAACAGGAAATAGAAAATCAAAAGGAAAAAAACAAAAGTTCCAGACCCACCAAGTTATAGGACAACATCCTGACTTCTTGCTCCTGGGGCAGGGGGCTGGACTCGATGATCTTCCGAGGTCCCTTCCAGCCCTAATGTCTATGAAATCTATGAATCCTTGTAATACACTTATTTTCTTTATCCAGCATTCACTTCCTTTAAATGATTACTATTCTTATATGCGTATAGAAGCCTTCTATCTGTGTGGCATATATTCCATTTTATTTAATCCTATTCTACTCACGTTCTTACACCAGCTTTATCACCACAGCATCTGGGCTCTGTCCAGTAGTTCAGATAATTTAAAATGACATGATTAGCATTTGTCACTTTTGGTAGCTGTAGTTTACATGTTGCAGATTAAAAGCCAAAGAACTGATCCTAAATATAGGTAACAAATACATTAGGAGCTCCCCTCCCCCTAATACCCACACTACAACGACATTAAAGGACAGCAATAGAGAAAACATAACCAGTAGGCTAAATGCCAAGGATTCCAGAGCCTGCAGCTAGTGGATAGCCTGAACAAAGAGACACATCCTAGAATGCATTTTAAATGAGGTCAGGCTCCTGCTTTGACATATTTTCAGCAAGAGCAGACTCTGGAGGTGAGGGTCTGCCACCTAGAGTGTCCTATCCCTGCTTCAGCTGAAGACAGACAACTGAAGGAGCATTCCAGACAAATGCAGATGGCATGATGGACAGAAGGGGAAAAGGGTGTACTCTTAACTTGTTAGCTAACAATTTGGATTAAAACAGGAATGAAGACAAAGTAATTTGGGTTTTAACTTGGATTAGTCAACCCCTGGCTTTTTTATAGACTTTAATTTGAGTTGCTAGCCCAAATTAATACCCAAGCTGCCTTTTCTTTGCTGATATTCTAACCCAAGTCAGATAACTCAGGTAAACTAGTCTGAATTAAAAGCACATTGTAGACAGTGGGTGCATCTACATGCTTGCTTTACTGTAGAGCTGCCTAATTAGCTCCTCAGTAAAGCATCACTATCTACATGTGCAGCACTATTAGGCTGCAGAAAACTAATGAACAATGCCATTGTGCTGCCTGACACAAGTACTAATCTATGATGGAGTTATTTAGTGCACCAGAACACATTGTGTAGATAGTGTCTGGGGTTAATTGAGGTGTGAGGATGCTACAGTGTGGGCTACCTAATGGCTAGTCCTGCACTGTAGTACCCTCATGCTCCAGCCAGCCCCTCTGCAATACGATGAACTGGGGCAAATCAGCTCCAGGCTGCCAGGTTGACCCCCCCAGAACAGCTCAATGTGCTGTGGCCCCGGAAGCATGTGTAAATGCTGTGCCCAGAAGCAATAAACTCCAGCACAAACTGTGCCGGAATTTATTTGGCCATGCTAATTGTATGTCTAGATGTCTCATCTCTGGGGAAATGGAGGATATTGTCTATTAAAGGGCAATGCTCCCTTAAAGTGAGTTGACAGCCATTACTAAGTGTAATGTGCCTCTTTTTTGGGATTTGGGTCTGTACCCTTTACTGAAAAACCAGCAGTCTTAGTGGGTGCATCTACACGAGATGCTGACTGCGCAGTAGCCTGATAATACTGCACAGTAGCGTCGTATGGCAAAAACCGGGACGCAATGCTACTGCGCAGTAGCGTCACAAAAAAGGCATTTGCTGGCACTACTGCGCATTAACTCAGGTTACTGTGTATTTATTTAATACTTATTTATACAAGTACTAAGTAAATGCATAGTAATGACTGCACAGCAGTGTCTTGTGTAGATGCGGCCAGTGAGCGTGAGTTCAAATGGGTCAGGATTAGAAAGAGCCACGAAAGCCGTATCTTGAACCTTACATCAGTGTGAATTTTGAGAAAGAAAACAGCATTTGATTTAATTTTAATAAAAAAGGAAAGAAGATTTTGAGGCTATTTGTATTTGGAAATGTAAAAATATTCCTAGAGAGGTGGATTAGTAGGCAGAGGGGAAGTGTCCTTATGATCTCTCTCTCTCTTTTACCAATACCTACATAGCTATTCATTATACATCTCTATTATCTGCTTACTTGCTCAGTTTTTCCTAAACCTTTTGCTGGTTTTGCTATTCAAATGTCTTTCTTTCTTCTTATTCTTTTTCCTCTTTCTTTCATCATTTTTTACCATAGATGACAATAGACTAAGCTACTTAAAGTGATCAAAATCTGAGTGAGGCTCAGAAGAAGTGTCCCAGGTAGGGACACTGGGCACAATGATTTTGTGGGGCTTGTGAACAGAGGGAAGAGGAGGAGGTATGATTTCAATAAGGGTATGGAAGAGGGATGGCGCTTCAGGCCAAACCCCGAACAATGCAATCCATTTGTTCCTGGCCTCATGCTAACAAAAGCTAGGAAGCTAAAAGTTAAGGCTGACACTTTGTTTTAATGTAGACTACTGTTAAACCATACAGACACATACACACACACACACAAAAAGAGAGAAAGAGAATCTCCCTCACAAATACATAAAGAGAAATACAACACGAGAAATACAATATGATAGATCTGAATATCAATCTTTCATCCAACACACTGATGCCCAAAGTAAGCACTGCAAATCTAATTTCTGTTTCCATGTAAGATATAATTCACAATGTTATCCTGAGTATTAATGTCAGATTTTTAAGATGAGAACGTTTCAATAATTGACATACCAAATGAGTGCGCAAGCATGCACACACACACCACACACACGTGCATGGCCTCTTGCCTCAAATAACTAGCATAAATCTAGCTCTAGCCAGAAGTGAAATTAACTGGAGGCTCAGCCAGGTTTTCAAGGACGATAGCCTATGCTACACAAACTGTGAACACCTTCAAGTACAGGGATTTGCACCGCACTCTGTTTTCCAAACAAACAAACAAACAAAAAACCCCCAAAGAAAAACATCACAGTTGAAAAATATATTCAGTGCTTTAACAGTACTGATCACCTTTTAGCAAACCAAAACCTTTCAACTTTGACTTCCAAATGATTTCCTCTGTCACCACATCCTGTCCTTCAAACGTAAACTCAAATCATTGATGAACAATTGGAACTCTTTTACTCTGACCTTTCCAAACCTAACAAGTTCTTTCAGGAGTACCAGCCAGGTAAGGGTCCATTCCAGGAGAAATGGAGGAAATAAATTAGCACAAAACAAGCCATTCTTTGACTCAATTTTCTTTTCAGAAGATGCACAAAATTTAGCTCCATTCTATACCCTATTCTTCAATGATAAGAAATGATACTATACAGCCTATAAATGATGTACTAGAAACAAAGGACAATTAACACATCCAATTATGCAATTCTTGTCGAGTTTAATATTACTGGAAATTTGGATTCACAGGCAACAAAATATAAGCAAAGCCAGCAAATGCATTCTGTAGTTTACTTTTTTTCCATCCAAACTTTTCTATGCCAGTCCTTAGTTGCTGACTGCCAGGAGAGGCAGAATATACAATTTCCAGTTCCACTATTCTAGGTACTAATACTCTAGTAGAAGTGGGTACGGTAATGGGTACGGTACCTGCAGCTCTGTCTGGAAGAAGAATTTCTGTGGACACTGTGTGCAGTCGTAGATCTTGTCCTCTTGTCCATGGGCTGAGAAAATATGCTGCTGCAACTTGTTTGCTTGAACAAACACTGAAATATTAGAATGATAGTGAGCTTTTCATTATTGCATTTTATAAATGGGGAGGCTTTTGTAAATATTTCCCTGTTGACACACAGCAATTCCAAGAGGTAAAGTTGAGTTGGTACACTATAATTTCATATTATAGTTATGTTATAAGGGACACCAAAAACCCTGTTTAACTACATAGTGGGTGCATCTACATGTGCATTAATGTGTTGTTGCTACCATGCATTAAGTTTACTACCTCTGAGATACTACATAAATGTGCAGTAGCTGGCACTAATATGCAGTAGCAACAGTGCAGTCTTTTTGTGATGCTTAACACACAACAGACTAATTCTACTGTGCATTAACACATTTTTGCCGTGACATGCTAATGTGCAGTAGAATTAGTTTACTGCACATTAAGCGTCTCGTATAGACATGCCCAGTGAAATCCTTTTTCTATTACATTTAAAAGGAACAGATATGTTTTGTTCCTATATTTTATCTATATATAACTATATATAATTATAAAATATAATATCTATAGGAATCAAACTAGAATTCTTGTAAGGAGAGCCAAATAAAACAAAAATATAGTTTAAAAAATAAAGATTGAGAAATGCCATTTCCTCTTGCAAATTATTTGTAATGAGCCAAAAGTCATCAAGTATAATATACTAAGAATGAACATACATGATATATTTCCTAGCAACCAAGAGGTCTGGAAAGTGCCACAGCCCTGTTTACTCTATTTGCCTAAAGTTAAAACTAACGAACAGTTCTGTATTTAAATGTGTTAATGCTAAAAATTATATCCCACAGCTACTCTGGGGCAATGTCTATAAATGTGAAACAGAACTGCAGGTAAATTCTCTTTGGATACTTTAAGATCAACTCTGCCTACACACTGAATGCAAGGGTTTCAATAATATAAACATGTTCAATTTTAATGACTACAAAACAAGGCCCTAAGACTGTGTAACAGTTTACCTAGGAGACATACTATTAATAATTAAATTGTATATGCCAGAGGCAGTGTTTGGGTTGGCAGCACTGACTTCTGATGGATGCCTGGTGCACTGTGACCTAAAAAAGTTTGCATCTACAATATTAATCTGTATAGGCAGGGAAAGGATTTATTAAAGATGCTGGCATTTGACTTTGACTCCACTCCTAATCATTAAAATTATTCTAATTGCAAGCCAACAAGAAATATCAGAATATTGTTCTTGTGAGTCATACATTTTAATCACATTTCTCATTACCTTAAAAAACTATTCAGATTCCATTTTCCATATAAAATTATATTGGTGATTTTTAGTTCTTGTTAATATGCTAGCAAGATGCACTGAAATAATTTAATAGCGTATAGCTAATAAAACACCATTGTTTATGATTAATGCTCTGTGTCTATTTACCCCATCAGCAAAAAGGAAAAAGGGTTTCACACAGATTGGAATCGACTTATCTCCATACTTCTTAACACATTTTACAAGGCTACTGGCTCAAACATTAAAGGATTATTTTTATCAGGTATCTCACTCACATGGAGAATCATCAGTGGGTACTTTTAGAGATGCTAGTTTTTATATTGCATTAAACCCGCCCCCCCCAAACTTGTCATCATTAAACTCTTGGAACACTAAGATACACAGTATTAGAGTAAAAGAAAATTACCTCCTTACAAATTTGTACACAAAGACAAGAAAAAGCCTAGCAGAATCAATAATAAAACTAAAAGACAAAGAACAGCCTCACTGAAAGAATTATTGAACACAGATGCCTAACAGGCAAACTGTTGAAGGCAGAACTATCCACACTCAGACAGTGCTACACCAAGCTGTGCAGTGAAAATGAACTATGTATTTTTTTTAATTTTATAACTTAACAGAAATGTGGAACCTGAATACAGTGAGGTAATCAGTGCCAGCCACTGTATGTGCAAGAAGAAAAATTCAACTTTAATTTTCTTTTGCAGGGTGTACTTAGGTTTTATTTGGAGGAGAGCTGGCAAACAAAGAGGAATAAAATGAAAGTATTAAGGAGTCTATTTGCCTATCAATGCACATGCTTAACTCCCATTAGTGGAGAACAGAAACCCTGAATGGTTTCCAAAATTAGCATGCTATTGATGAGAGAATACCCAAAGTGTGTTTTGTCATATTTTCTTATAGTTTTGTAAATCTCAGATTTTCATCTTGTAAAGCAAGATTACGCATTGATAAGTACTAATACATATCTTACTTTAGGGTATAATTTATAAAACATTCTATTATGCATCCTATTACCCTTTTTTAAAAGTCTGCCAGCACCCTTTTAATGTATTTTTATTTCCAAGGATGATCTGGGGATAAATTATATACGTGACATTTTTGTTACTTGTGATGGGCCATATCTTACAGTTTCTAGTTCTCCTGGGTCAGGCTATTATCTCATCTGGATCTATCCCAGTGAACAACAATACCAACCTGAACAATTGTATTGATTTTAGACCTGTGTAATGGAGAGCAGAACTTGTTTTGTGAAAAGTCTGCAGGATTTACTCCCTAAAACATAATATGAAGGCCTTCCTTTTTAGGTGCCAACAACCAAACCGAACTGGAGTCTTGCTGCTGGTTCAGAGGAAAAGGCGTTAGTGTGCTTCTGCAACGATAAACAGTTATCCTTCCCTGGGGCCAAGGTTTGCTCTCAGTTACACTTAACATCTTTAATCCACCTGAACCTGATAAGCTCAGGGGGCTACCATGCTTAAGACATGCCAATTACTATGGCCAAGGGCACATAAAAGAATGGGGTAGCCAGCATTTACATCTGGCTGCCTCTGAGTCACCAGGCCAGATGACCCAGTGACCATTAACAGCTGAGTCAGCAGGGGAATGATTTGCATGTGGCAGCCTTTGGCATAAGTTTGGAGAAAGGTTCAAATTCACACCATTGGATTTGTAGCAAGACATTTTAAGTGCTGTGCCATTGCACCCCTTCTCAGTTACAGCATTTTAAGTGTCTATAACTTTAAAGCACATCTTTATGAGTACTTTTAACCTTGGGAAGTTTGGAGCATGAGGTGATGGATGTGATATGCAGGAACTTAACAGACTATCAGTTTTGCAATTATAAAAATGCAAACTTCTGATGCACAGGCTTGAAATGCAGTTTATGCAGATGGATGCCTGACCTTCCAACAGCCCCGACTTCTTAAATATTTTCTAATCAATAGAACTAATGAGCACAAATCTAATATTCCCTCCCAAACTGACCTAAAGTCAAAACACAACATAAATCCTAAAGGCCGTATAAACTGGAAACTGCATGCGTAGGCAAGGGCACGACAAGGAAACATACTGAACTTGTCCTCCTACCTGTAAAGCAGACTGGACATTTGAAAGTGCCCCCCATTCCTTCAAAGCTGTGTTCTATCAGGTGGCATTGAAGTTTGGCAGGAGAGTCAAATGTCTGATTGCAGAGTTTGCATTCATGGTTCAGTCCTTCATCTGGTGGAGAAATCAAAAGAAAGGGGAATTTCATCACAGCTGTAACAAAATGGCAAGTCCAGTATGATGTATGTATTTCTTGTTTATCTAGTCCTGATAAACCAAATGACCCTAAAATCCATGGCTGCTAAAGTATTCTGTAGGGTTTTAATACATACAATATACATCCAGACATTAATGCCACAAATTTGCCACCCAAATTTGCCATGGGATGCAGATGGATTTCAGTATGAAATCACTTATGGGAAAGGGAATTTACATCCCTAACAAACCAAATGGACATATTTTCAAGGGAATGCACACAGAATTAAATGTTTAGCTTCTATTAAAGATGAAAATTGTGTACTTAAACAATCTTTCTACCACTCTGGTTGACAGTGGCCTTTCTCCCAACTGGTATGATGGTGCATGTGCTTTATACCCTCTTAACTCTCTCACCACTCCAGTTTTCCCTCCTCGTGCCAGCTCCTGGCTTTTCTCACAGACATCCATGAATCCTATGCTAAGGTATGGGGCCTCTATCACCCTTTCCTAGGATGCTAGTATTTCTTCTGTCAAAAAGCCCCTCAGCATTCCCTGACTTAAGCTTCCTTGGCACTGCTCCTGGGCCTGAGAACCCTTCCTTCTATTAGCTGCATGTTCCTCGTGCTTTCTGCAATTCTCCTCCAACAGCTCCACATGCTGAGTTTAGGCTCTCTTCCTGATGGTGCTGCAGGATTCATCCACTCAACCACGAGGGCAGTCAAAGGCTGTCCTACTTAGAAACAGTTGCTAGGTAAGATGTGGCTTCCAGCCTTGCTACACAGGGCTCAATTCCCAGAGCACAGCTTAGAAAAGGTCCTTTTGTGTGTCACTAGTGTGTTGCACAAATAGAATTGATCTAGCATGTAAATACTGTATTTGATTACTAAAAAAAAATAAAATCAAACAATAACAAACTGTATTGTAACTGTCACATTTCTCAAGTAAATAAAACCAAACCAAAACCAAAACAAACAACCCCCCCACCTTTATTTAGGAACCCCCCCTCCCAGTCCCAATATCTAAATATCAAGCTGTCTGCATAACTTAACACTGCCTGCAGTGATTAGTAACCATAATGACTTAACATTCATGGTTGACAAGTGCTGTATATTGTCAATGGAAGCACATATAACATGTATAGTATTTTTTATTCTGCTTGAAATGACTTGCAACTACTTTAAAGAAAACATGACATGGAACTTGTAAACAGAATGGTGTCACACCTTTCTCTCAAACTGACCTTTAATAGCTTACTAGAATTGAAATAATATCAACTATATCGCTGATCTTTCACTTCCCATTAGTCTGAAGTCTAAATTTAGCCTTGGTGTAAGCAACTGAAACTTTAGCAAAGGGTAAGAATTTTTAAAAGTTCAGCGCTGCATTAACTAAGCCACTCAGCGGATTCTATTCTGTATCTGAAGCTACTGCAAATTCGCCTTGAAAAGAACTTTAATAATAGTTTGTAATGAAAAGGTAAGATATAGCACAAAATCTACAAACCCTACGGCAGTGGCTCCCAACCTTTTTTTGCTGCAGCCCTAAATCCTGGTTGTGACCCCTGCTCCTGTTTCTGACTCACTCATGCCCAGCTGGGATCACTGGGAGAGCTCCAGAGGTGGCAGGGGTGGAGCAAGGGGTGGACCCCCTGCAACCCTGATTTGGGTTGCGACCCATGGTTGGGTGCCACAGCCCTAAGGACTGCACAAGATTGTGTGTGGGAGGTTCTCCCAGAGGCTAAACAGGCAAAAAGATATCTTCTTCAGCAAAAGCCACTATGTGTTTGTTCTAGGGCTGGGGTGTCAGGCATGTGGCCCAAAGGCCAAATCTGGCCTGTGAAGCCCCATAATCTGGCCTCTGGTGCTGACCCTTTTGCTGTGTTGGACCATCCAAGCATGCAGTGACCAGGATGTTTGTTGCCCATGGCACTCACTTGAGCTGGGTCCCAGGATGTGCTCGTTCAGGGCAGCACCCTGGCCTGGCCTGGTGGGTGCTGCCTGTGCTGGATCGGGGGGCAGATGAGTGCCAGCTATGTCTTAGAGATTCTCTCCACTAAGTAATGAACATCAATAATGCTGCAACACATGTAACTTTCCTTTTCCAACATGATAAAACTCAGCAGCCTGTATAAAAACTTTGGGGCCTATTTCTGCTCTTCAAAATTATTCCCTGAGTAGATCTCTCTCTTCCTTTCTCCCTTCCTATCAGGTACTGTGCAGCAGAATCGGTGTCCTCAGTAAGGTCAGGTACGCACTAGCAAGTACAGTTTTTCTTATAACAAGCTGTAGAATATTTTTGTTCTTTGCAAACTCTTTATTAAAACACTGCTAGATTAGCCTGCCTAACTTCACCCACCCTAACAGTAATCATGGGGTCTAAAATGGTGCCTTTACTTTAGATACCGGGATCTGGGGACTGAAATACCTAACTGGTTTGCATGTGAATTTCATATGCTTAGCTATACTGTGATCTGTACGTTGTTGGCTCCAAGGTCATCTCTCCTCAGAATCCTGGACTAGCTTTGTAGAGGAACCTGGAACATAGTTGATGCTGAAAAAACTATGTTCTAAAGAGAGGAAACAGATTTGCTGCTTTGCAGCAATATGAAATTATGGTGCTTCCCTAAATCTGGGAGACAAGCTTCTTTGGGAAGATCCAATATCTTTTATTAGACCAACTGAGTAGTTGGAAAGAAGTTCTGAGATCAAGATCTCACAGCAGCAAGATTCCCTATGCCTGAAGAAGGGTGCTTGTGCCCGAAAGCTTGGCAAGAACTTCTTTCCAACTACTCAGTTGGTTTAATAAAAGATATCACATCTACCCAAAGAAGCCTGCCTGCCTATGTCCTTAGATCAACACGGCTACAACCAAAAATCCCTACACCTAGAAATTCTTTGCTAGGAACACAAGAACTGCTCTATGAGGGAGGGCCAAATGTCCATCTTGTCTACTCTTTGACAGTGGTGAGAGCTACGTGTTTTGCAAGAGGGTATAAATTATGCATTTACAGCCCTATGTGGATATTTCTTCATCAACCTGTTTGGGCTGATGAAAGCAACTGGGACAGAGAGTGCTCATTTCTGGATCTTTCACCCATCAAGGCGAAGATAATCAATGCCAATTAATGCCAGAGTTACCATTGGCAAAATGCAAATTGTTCTGCTTAGTCTATCGAACTGAAACCTTGCAAGGTGGTTTCAAAACATACCATAGATACATGGATTCCTAAACCAAGATACTACTATACAGAGACATATGAAGGAACGAGGGGTGGCTTTCTCTTGCCTTGTTCACAATAATTATCTTAGTCAAAGAACTAAAAATGGGTAGAAAAACATGTATTCCTGATGCTAAAGAAAAAAAATTGGCTGTTTTAAACTTTATACTTGCTCACAAACAGTTGATCCCTGTTAAAATTTGACCTTGTTATATTTCCAATATTGCTGAGATCTGCATGATCTCCTGGCCACTAAGGCTAGGGACAGACATTCAAAAAGCCCGAGCCTGAATTGATTCAATCTTTGCAAGTTAGTCTAACCTGGCTAGGCTAAACCAGTTTGTAACCAAAAGACATCCCCTCTGGACTGAAAAAATGCAGGCACATGCATGCAGCGGCTCAGGCTAAAGCAGCCCTCCCTTCCCTTCTATAGTACTGAGCTGAGTGGGGCATGGCCAGGCCCTGGCAGGATACTCTGATTAGGGAGGGGCTCCTTCCCCTCCTGACCAGCCCAGCCCAGCCCAGCCCAGCCCAGCCCAGCCCAGCCCAGCAGGGAATTGATAACACAGTGTTTATCACCCCTAACTCAGTGTTTATCACCCCGTTAAGAAAACAGCAGAGGGACATTACCAGATACCTGATGATTCTGCCTTTGTGCCATCTGCCACAGCAGGGACCACAGCCAGCATGTGGTTTGCTAGCTAATGCTGTATGTCTGTGTAAAACACAGAGGATGGAGTAATCCCTGGTTAGCAGGGAGTGGGAGTGCGAGTTGCGGGGAGGGGAGGGAGCAGGCAGATGCCTTCAGTCTCTGCCAGAGCTCTAGCCAGGAAGCAGAGGGGAGGTGCCGACCTTACTGTGGAGCAGGGAGCCCAGCCCAGAGAGCATGCTGGGATGCTGGGGGAATGTGGTTTAACTTAAGATGGCAAGGGGTCTGGGACAGACATTGCATAAACCAGTTTGACCCAAATCAGTTAAGTCTAATACTACATTCAACCAGGTTTATCTCAAACTAGTTTCAGCCATTTTCAGACTGGTTTATGTGCATTGAACATCTGTTCTGTTACAGGTTTAGACCAGTTAATGTGTAATGAATGTCCCTAGACTAACAGAGAATTTACTTCGCCTACTTTATATCACAAAACTCATTTTCCTAAAGGCTTGTCAACAAGGCTTGAAAATCCACTGCCCTACTCACATATGGTCAATAGGAAACTTGCCCAGACAGAAGCCATTTAGCTTCTGCAGAATCTAAGCTTTCTATTGAAAACAAAAGGGTCTGGCTCTTATGGTTATGAAGATCAATTTAAAAAACAAAAATATATTTGTATAACCCATGCAGTATTTTTTCTGACATGTTCTAATCAGAATGCATTCGAGCACGTGTAAAAGTACGTCCTGTTTTTCAGATTACCTATCTCTTAAATGGATATAATATTTTTTTCTCCTAGTGACACTGGGAAACTTACTTACCTAGGATCTAGAATGGTTTTTAATATAAGCACTGTAACAGAAGAATGGAATTGGGGCCCCATGTTATATCTCAGAGGCATTCCAGCTTAGTAACATAGATACAAAGAAGCCTCTATGTGTCTATGCTACTGTTACTGTCTATGTTAGACCCACTGAGGGAACATATGTAAAAGTGAGGTCTCTCTTTTAAAAAGTTTTGTTAGTATGTACTAGTTTTTGGTGTGATGGTGAGAACAGAAGATAGAAGAATTCCTGTCTCAGCCTCAGCCAACTTTCTAGGGCAAAT